GATCAGCGCACAAGCGGAGGGCCAGGAGCTGGACCAGGTTCCCCAGCACTCTCCGAAGTGACAAACTCTTCAACATGGTTCTATTCAACATCAGATAGCGATGATTTTTTTTTTTTGTGTGTGATGATTTTTATGCAGTCAGAGACCGGAGGAAAACCAACAGATCAGCGCACAAGCGGAGGGCCAGGAGCTGGTTCGTCAGAACCTGGGGTCTCAACGTCAGGTTGCTGAAGGTGAAGGCAAGAGGGATTATAGTCATAGAGCCTCCTTGGCTGATGGGCCCCGGCCCACCATGAATTTATCCAGCCTTGAGGGGGTAATCTCTTCGGGTCCTGTGCTTATCCGATTCGGATCCCAACATGACTGGTTGTTGTTTAGGACTATCCTGAGCCAAGCACACAGCGGCCAGTATAGATCTACATAGCTGGCGGCCAAGAAGGAAGCATACATCTAGTACATAGCCGGCTGGCGCCAAATGGTGAAGTATAGATCAGATTTGGATTCCGTAGCAGCCGGTTCGCGATGATCGAGCGTTTGCTGGCAGTGAGGTCAGCATTGGAGAGGACGGTGGACGGCGATACTTGGGGTATGGTCCGTTGGGACCATTCCGTTCGTCAGTTGGCTAGGTGGGTGAGGTGGCAGGTGCGACATGGCACTTGGTGGGATTCCATGGGCATCCTGTTCCGTATCATGGAGCCTGTGTACGACGTGCTGCGCAGGTTGGACCGTGGAGGGCTGCACATGTCGCGGGTGGTTGAGTGGACACAGAATGTGGCCCGCTAGGTAGCAGAGGAGGTTTGTGCACTTCCGGCCGATCTTGCACACTACATTGTGCAGAGGGTTCAGGCTCGATGCGCTCACATGTTGGAGCCGGCGCACGTCGCTGCTCACCTTCTTTGTCCCAGTCGGCGGGACTTGCGGTAATTCGAGGGCGTAGTCAGCGACTACGACGCGAGCTTAGTGAGGGAGGCGGAGACTTACATCTTGTCGCAGACAGGATTCAGTATAGCGAGCCCCGAGTACGAGACCGCATGTGCGCAGTTGCACGACTTCCACACACGGAGGGGGACGATTGCGTGGGGGGGGAGGGATGGAGACAGAGAGGCACAGAGGTGCACGGGCGATGCGGAGACGTACGAGTCCGGATGTTAGTGGTCGAAGTGGGGGCCGTGCGCCCCGCAGTTGCAGGCTATCGCTATTCGTGTGATGTACATGTGGACGTGCTCCTCTCCTGCAGAGAGGAATTGGGCCGCCCACGAGGGTGTACAGACGAAGAAGCGTAACCAGCTTGAGTTCGAGAAGGTCGCGAAGTTGGTTGAGATCTCAGCCAACGTCCGCCTTCTCTCTCATCAGCGGGCAGGCCACGGGTTTGCGCTGCCGTGGACTCTAGATGAGTCTTTGTTGGACGTGGAGGGAGGTATCGGGACTTACCCCTCGTGGAAGGGGACGGACGAGAGCAGGACGCGGGAGGAGCTCGAGGAGCAACGACGTTCTTGGCAGCGAGACCCATGTGGGTCCAGAGCTCCTCCAGGTGATGTGGGCGATGTTTTTGGGACTTGAGCCGCCACATTGCACCCGTACCCTCGAGACGACAGTGATTCCGAGGGTCACGAGGACGAGGACGAGCAGGCGGGCCCTGCTATTGCCACTCGTGCGGCAGATGAGCGTGATGAGTGGAGCGACCCAGAGGACGCCCGTAGACGGAGTGGCGGAGATGACCTTTTCGTAAGACTTGATTTGGAGGAGGAGTCAGGGGGTCATCATGGGAGCCCCCTAGAGCATCAGAGGCCTACGTCCATTGCCCCGCAGTCCGCTGAGCGTGAGTGAGAGAGATCCTGGGTCTGTACCTTCGAGGGGGGCGGAGTCGGGGATTGGTGGGGGGGGCCCTGGCCATCGTAGTGGCATGGCATCATCCACCGCTCTTCCCACTTCAACGAAGCAGCTTCATCGACACCCAGCCCACGATGGTTGATTGCACAGATTGGTGAGGGGCCCGAGACAGCGATTGGAGGACAGATTAGCGGACGGTCCTTCACCGGTCCATGGGGACGAGGTAGACACACAGGGGTTGGCTGGTAGAGATGGTGGTGCGTTGGCTGGAGGTGGATGCGGTGCCGAGGTTGCTGCGGCAGTTGAGGCGCACGAGATTCGGAGTGGCGGGGATGAGGGGATACCGACGGGTGACGGAGGCGGTTTTAGTGAGTTTGGTGACGTGGGTATGCCTCCGGGAGAGAGTGTGGGTCTTCCTCGGGGAGAGAGCGAGTCTCGTGGGGACATCAGTGTGGGTATGCAGGCCTTATTGGGACAAATCAGCTTCCTGGACCCGGATAGTTTCTCCACTGCCATGCGCGGAGAGGTGATGTCGGGGGCAGAGGGAGATGAGGATCGCACACCTCCTGGAGAGACATCTGAGGAGAGATTGGATAGGCTTGAGAGTCGTCGAGCGTGCCTCATGGCACAGAGGGACCCCAGGACGCAGGCGTTCGCCCCTGTTGCGACGGAGGAGCGACAGAGACAGTTGGGGACATTTACGCCGGCGTCCCTTGACGTAGCGCCAGGTGCCCACACGGATCCTCCGGCAGAGGTTCACGATACAACGCATCGGGAGGCGGCTTTGGCCGAGGCTTCAAGTATGGGAGTTGATGTTCGGCAGGGGACGCACGAGAGCGGGTTGGCAGCGGCAGAGGAGCCACATTCGGAGCCGGTGCAGCCTCCTACCGTCCAGCTGAGGCCCGAGGAGACGTCGCATGAGGTCGCAGGCGTGCCTCTGGCCACAGGTTTAGTTGAGGGGGCCGTGCAGATGTCCCCGGGTCTGGAGGACATACAAACGGGGCAGTCAGTGGGCGTTGATGATATTCGCCCAATCGGCACAGGCGGAGGGGATAGCACTGACCCTGTCTCTTATACACATCTAGATGTGTATAAGAGACAGGGCCGTTGATGTTGGCGGGGTGGGGGTGCCTGTTCAGGCGGATCCTATGTCCACGTCTGGGGGGGGTGATCCCGCACAAGTCGACAGGCGTGACGCAGACGGACAGGAGATGCCACAGACTTTGGTGGTTCGCACTGCTGTGGGGCCAGTGGTGCCATATCAGGCACCGTTTATGGAGGACCATAGGCGTCAAGCACATGGCGGTGGCCCGGTCGAGGACCGACGTGTAGGCAGGGGCGCGTGCATAACTCCGGTCCCTACTTTTGCGCCGTCACGGGCGAGGCCGGAGATTAGGTATGTGGCTACGCCTCGGGGCAGCCTCCCTTTTGGTTTTATGACCGCTGAGGAGTTGGAGGAACACGGCAGGACGGATTTGACGGAGATCGACCAGTGCATTTTGAGGTCAGTCCCAAAGGAGGGGAAATTGCCTCACGTGCAGGACTTGTATTGGGGGCCAGCCAGCCTCAACTTACCTTCAGGATGTTCCTTCGCAGCGCCGTCTGGCGGGGCTGCAGGGGGCTTACCTTCTGGAGGTTCCGTCGCAGCGCCATCTGGCGGGGCTGCAGGGGGCTTACCTTCTGGAGGTTCCGTCGCAACGCAATCTGGCGGGGCTGCAGGCCCTTCGTCACCCACGACCGTAGCTCCGGGGGAGGGCGGCAGTCTCACCTCGAGGTCGGCTGCTCGTAGACGGAGAGACACTACCGAGCGTGCGCGGGCCGTGCTGGACACCATGTTGTTCGGTTGCACTGATCGGCCATGGAGTGAGACGAGACGGGTGACGACGGCGAGTGTCGATCGTCAGCCAGGTTTGAGAGGTGTTTCCACGAGCGCGGGACGTCGAGATGTTGTAGCTTCAGGGTTTGGCGGTAGAGGCGGTGGCGGCGGTGGCAGCGGTGGCGACGACGACGGCAGACGTGAGAGCGTAGGCGGTGCCACGACGAGCGCAGTGGATCCACCGCGGACGTACGGTTTGAGAGAGGCGTCGATTATTTTGCAGGAGCCTCACGTTGTTACACGACCGAGGCAGGCCCGACACGTGCCCTTAGATCGACGCCAGGAGGGGGAGACTTCAGCGACAGACGGTCTACCTATGGCACGCGAGTCACGCCGACGTGATGACCTAGCAGCCGCATGCACCAGGACGGTGAGAGGCAGGAGAGTCATTATGGACGACGACCCCGACGAGCGTCCCGTCGCTTCCGAGCCTTCCACTACCAGACGCGGCGGGCAGCGTCAGAGAGATCGAGGACGTGGCAATGGTCGGTCCCACGGACGAGGTTCTCATCGGTCCGAGCGACATCCGCGTGCACACGACGATTGTTGATGGAGTACGGGCTTGCGTTTTCTTGACTTTCTCAGTGTAGCTCAATTTTTTGTTATCCATATCAGACGTAGTGTTTCGTGATGTTGTATTATAGTCTACTTTTCAGTCATACTTTTCTTCGCAGTTCGGTACTTCGGAGATGGTATCTTTTTAGTGTATTTTTAGTCTACTTTTTCGTCGGCATTTTTGGGTTGGTACTTCTTTCCATAGACTGGCGGGGGTTCGACACGACGTGTCATATTTTTGCTATTATCCATGCTATATTGGTTTGCGTTTTGCTTCGATTATATCTTGCCGTTTGCGATGTTCCTGTTTTCAGACTACGAGTGTTTTCGTGTGCATTGAGTCCGCCCCTAATGTCTCTGAAATCTCACTTCCCACTGCATGAGCACCACAAAAACCTTGGTTCGGGGGCGTGGGCGGACTTGGGGGGTTTAGGTTTGGCGCGATTTGAACACGCACGAAACCCAAACCCCCAAAGTGCTTCCTGGCCCCTCAAAACCCAAACCCCCCAAACCACCCTTTTTTTTTTTGCCTACATTGTCAACCCTTTTTTTAATTTCTCAAACCGCTTCTTTTGTGATATAAAAAAAAAACAGATATTTTGGGAAAAAAAATAAAACAAACGCCGCAGTGTGTGTGTGTGTGTGTGTGTGTGTGTGTGTGAATGTGTGTGAATGTGTGTGTGTATTTGTGTGTGTAAATGGGTGGCGCAGTTTGGGGGGGTGTAAGTGTTGGGGAAAAAAAAAAATGTGCCTGTGTGTGTGCGAGGGTGTGAATTTGTGTGTGCATGTGCGTGCGTGAATGTGTGTGTGTGTATGTGTGTGTGTGTGTGTGTGTGTGTGTGTGTGAATGTGTGTGTGTATG